TAATAATACCATTTGCCCTGCGTTCGACGTGTATACACGTCGTTGCTTGTTTTTAATTCCACACCCTGCGGTGATCTTTTGAAACTAAATTCCACAGTTAACTGGTTAATGATAGAAAAAAAAAAATACGAATAAAATATCAAAAATAAGAGTTTAATATTTATTTAATTTTAGATATTTCAATTTAAATAACATTGTCACATTATATTATTTTCAAATTAATCAAATGTGATTTTAATTCGTATTTTAATATTGTAATTCTTTGCTGACGAATTGTCTGAATATATTGCTGATATATATTTGTAATATAAAATAAATAAAATAATGAGAGTTATACTAGACACACAAAAAAATAAAAAATAAAATTAAAAAAAAAAAAAAAGAAATATTAATCATAAATACAATTAGACGAATTTTGACATCACACACGAAATGCGTGCACATTAAATGCAATTTAACGATTATTTCTATCTGTTCGAATAATATTATCTCGTTGTTTTATACGCAAAGTGTTAGCTTACAATTCAAGGCGTCTGAATCACGTATCCTTAAGAAGACACGATTAAATTATGTTTATAACGCGTATCGCATACGTAAAAAGTATACATGCGACGATATCCTTCGCAGCTTCTTTCAATTCCACTACTCCCTTTTACCCTCTCCCCTCACTCCGAGGAACGCCATAGCGCCATATTATTTTTACCATTCGTCTGAATTTTTTTTTTTATTATTATTGTGTGGTCACGTCGCAAAATGAATTTTGTTCGAGAGTTAAAAAAAAAAGAAAAAATGAAAAAAATTTTATCAAAAATGTAGCTAACTTGAATTTCATATCGGTCAGATATTTATTTTACTTTTTGATATCGATATTTTCATTGATGATCATTGTTTCGAATTAAATTGAGTGAGAGAGGGAAGGGGGAAGGAAAGAAAAGGGGAAAAAAGAGAGAGAAAGAGAGAGAGAGAGAGATAGGAATTGATGGCGTTCAATTTATCGTTGCATGTGAACAATTTTCATCTGGTATTAAAAAAAAAAAAATTTGACGTTTGAATTTAAAAGAAAAAATTCTATCTCGCTCTTTCTTTTTTGATGTTTCTTTTGTTTTAAAATGGTTATGTATGTATATATCTGTTGAAAAATTTGAACTTTGCAATATTTTGCAATATTTTCTTTGACTTGATTTTTATTCTTTTTGTTGTTGTATTTTTAAAATATAAATTCGTCATTTATGTGAAAGCATATATATGTATATATATATTTTATGTAGATTTAATGAAATAGATAAAGAGAGAAAGATAGATGAATAGATAGGATAGATAAATAGATAGAATTCGTTCACACTTTCACGTTTATTAGTAATGTAGCACAACTGCATACTGATAACTATCTTTTATTTATTCGTGACCCTGTGATTATCTCTTTATTTCGTTTCATACTTTGAATGCACGTGTGCATTCTCGTAAAGTATCACGAACCAATAATGGCTCGGCCAATAATACTTATGGTTACATTCTTTTTTAGAATCATTAAATAGTTTCGTATGAAATTTTTCAAACAAAAGAAAGAAAAAACAAACATTCAAATCTGAGATTAAAAATAAAAATATAAAAATTAGACAAAATCTGTAATACTTATTTTAATTAGTTAATTAGTTAAAGTGTAATTCTATTAATACGTTCGTCGCCATATCACCGTATACCGGAGAACGGGCATGCTTCTCCAGGGGCCCCGTCACCGTATACGGTGACGCTCTTCTTGTTGAGGTTATAGTATTTTTAAGTTGGAAAAACTTATCACATTTCCCATTTCGAAAGAAAATTAATTTTGGTAAATAAAAGATAGTTTTTTTATTTTATTATTTTCGATAAATAAAATATAATAATATAATATAATCATAATACTTGGGTTGCATTGTTGATATTTCTACTTATCGCTTGTTTACGTTACGTAGGCGCGCCCGCCGACAGTCGAATTTTGGGCCTGACGAGAAACTCAACCGAAACGGGCTGGGCGACGAACGTGTTAAATAATTTTTGTAATACTGTTTTTAAAACATTTATTTTCATCTAATTTGCAACACAAACTAAGAAACTACTAAATAAAAAATAGAAAGTATTTTTTATAAAATTAATTCACGATTCAGTTTCTCATGTGTGTTATTATTACAAAATTTGTATTAAAATTTCTATTATAATTTTTTTTTTTAATTATATTAATTAACAAAATATCCAATTATGTGTATGTGTGTGTGTGTGTGACACAGCTTCAAAGTAATCGTAATGTTTTTCTAAAACATTTATTTTTATCTAATTTGCAACACTAACCAAGAAATTACTAAATAAGAAACAGATAGTATCTTTAATAATAATAATTCACTATTTAATTTCCCGTGTGTGTTATTATTACAAAATTTGTATTAAAATTTCTATTAAAATTTTTTCTTATTATATTAATTAAAAAAAATATCAAATTCTATGTTTGTGTGTGACAGAACTACGAAACAATCGTAATATTTTTCTAAAACATTTATTTTCATTTAATTTGCAACATTTCAAGGAACTACCCATTACCTTCCACTCACATGTGTACATAGATTACAAACGACGAGGGTGGTGGGTAGATGGTGGGGAGAAGTTGTTAGGAAAGGCATCAAAACGTTTTTTATTTTTTTTATTTTATCTATTCTTACTGTTTGATTGTCGAAGAAGAATTTCAGTGGTCGACGACACATGATGGAATCATCGTACGGGGAGAGGCACACGTATTATTACGCACGACGTATCTACGTGTCAGTATGCGACTTTTTTTCTTTTTCTTATTCTTTTTTTTTTTTTTTTATTTGTTTCTTATTCCTCATTCTGCATCTCGTTTTATAGCATATATTCTCGTTCGACGTTCGCAAATGCATATGGCATCGTTACCCATCGAATTCAATAGAATTACGCATTTTTACGATCCTCGTTCTTCGTACTACAACTGCATCAACGTATTGAGTTATCAATTGTTTTTTTTCTATCTCTTTTACACTCATTCACCTTACTCAAGATATATTTCCCATCGTAAGATTTCTTCTTTTTTTTTTTACTAGAAAAAAAAATAATAAAATAAAAAAAAACATCTCATTGTGATATCGTTAGAACCAATCGGAACTATTTTATCGATTAGATAAATGAAAGAAAAAAATAAACAAAATAAAAATTATTGTATTCTCTCTCTCTTTCTCTCTCTCGAATTCCTCAGAGAGAAGATTTTTGTATTTTTGCCATTAGAACAATCGGAAAAAAGAAATTAAAAAGAAAAAACATTTTTTACATTTATATTATTATTATTATTATTATTATTATTTTTGGTTTTGTTTATTTCTTTTTTTTTCCCCCAATGACATTTTTGCATTTTTGTGCTGTTCGAACAATCCGAAGAACAATTAAAATTAATTGTAATTGATTGATTATTGTTTTTATATTTAATGTTATTATTTTTATTATTATTTTTGTTGTTGTTGTTTTTGTTCTTTTATTCTATTACAATCGTTGGTGAGAAGCTTTGTAATGTTGTAATTAAATCGGCCAACGTGTTCTCAATTTTCTTTTCGATGCATGACGCGTAAAGTCAAAACTGTAATATGAGGTATCGCGTATCACTTCGTATCGAGAGGATGGGGAAGGGGGTGAATGGGGGTATTTTATATATGATATCGATTACCAACCATTTGTGGATTCAATCTTCTTTCATTCTAAACTCCTGTTTCCATGCGTATCCCATTTCTTTTCGCATACCATGGATTTGAAATCAATGCTTGTAACTTTTGTTCACAAATTATTAATCATTAATGCATCAAATAATTAAATAATTTTTGTCTATTTGAATTAATTAAATAAACGGGTAATTTATTTCGAATTTTATATCACAATTTTTAAAATTTGTATAAATGTTTTATTGGAAATTTATTTTATATTAAAATACAAAAATAAAAGACAATTTTTTAAATCATTTTTTAAGTGCAAAGGGTTAACACAGTGCAAGGGTTCATCATAATTATTCGTATTGTTTTAATTATTTATATTAAATATTTTCTTTTCTTTAGAATTATAAAATTCTGTTTTCTTTTTTTTTATTTATTATTATAATAATTATATTTATATTATTATTAAGTATACATTTTATAGATTGTCTTCAATGTATCGAATTTAGCTGCTAGTTGCAAGTAGAAAATTAAAAATAAAAAAAAAATAAATAAAAATGTAGAAACTTTTTTGGTAGATCCCTAATATTAATTTAAATAATTAAATTACAGGATCCATAATTTCAATTAAAATAGAAAAAAAAGCAATATCATTCGTTTACAATTCAAATTGTTTCTTTCATAGTTGTCTCTTTACGTGTATAATAATAAAAATAATAATTATAACGTTAACAGGAGATATTTAAAAGTAAAAGACTTAAAAAATAATTTATTACTACTAAAAGAATCCTTTTTTGTTTTTTAAATAATTTTACAACCAGTATAGAGAAAAATATAATATATAAAAAAATATTTGATTATAAACTTTACATTACCTTTTCTTTTTCCTCGAAGAAATAAAAGTTCGATGAACTTTTAAAACCTTTTATCGTGAATATAAAACAAAACGTTTTCTTTCTTATATTTATTGAACGCGTTTATTTCTACCATTTTCCATTTCTTTTATCCAATATCCCACCTTGTTTTTCTGTTCTCGCTCGAATAGTATTCGATTGAATCGTAATATTCAAATGTTCGATTTGAAAAATCTCGAAAACTAACAAAAGCAAGAAAGAAATAAGAAAACATTCTGAAAAGATAATCAAAAAAAAAAAAAATTCATAAATTCATATAAATATTTTGAAAAGTATTAAAAATAATAAAATAACATTTTTACAGGTCTCGTCGACGTAGCGGTAGTGGTGCATCAGATATACCGCAACAACAACAGCAACAACAGCAGGAAACGCAAGAGAACAACAACGGGAGTTCACGAGGAAAGAAATTGCAGGAGGGATTGGGTCCCGATGAGATGTGGGCTCCTGGTACCCTAGGCCATCACCGGGAGCTACCAGTCGATGTGCCCGACACCTTATTACAGAAGGCATATCCCAATAAGGTAAAAAATTGCTCTACCGATTGTCGGAATGAGCTTCGTCGTCCCTGTAGCGCTAGCGAGTTAGACTTCTCCTTAAACGTTAAGAACGATATTATAAAAAAACGTACAACGGATGATCGGTCAAGATTTGGACTAGCAACAACAACAACAACATCAACAACAACCACAACAACAACAACAACTACAGCAACAACTGATCGAATTGACGTCACCGATGGCTGCCCACGTTCAATTTTATTCAACGGTGACAATAAACTACAGATGCACGAGATCGAATTAAAAATCGGTTTATTGAATGATAACGTTAAAGGGGAGGAAAGCGAATTGAAAGAATTTACATCGGATTATTTAAAGATGGATAAAAAATCAAATGGTAGTATATTGAAGGTTATTGAAACGAAAGATCCAAAGAGTCCCTTCAGGGGCAATCATGTTAAAAACGAGGACGAGGAGGAGGAAGCCTCAAGCGAGGAAACGAATGGTCAAAAGGAATCTAGTGTTGACATAGAGGACGAGTATCCTTTTGCCAAGGAAGATTATCCGACCATGTTGAAAACGTGTAGCGACGATTCGGCTAGTCCACGTAGTTCGTCTAGCCGATCGGATAGTACAGCACCTTTAGATACGAGTTTGGTACTGAGGCACAGTACGGATGATAAAAATAAAAAAAGTAAAATAGCCAATGCTCGTGACAAAGATTCACCTAGTTACGATGCCAGAAGAATCGATCTTGGTTCACCTTGTCGTGCCGTAGTAACCGAATTACCGATCAAAGTGACACCATTGTTCGCACGTGCGACACGTGATGCAACATCGTTTGATAATCCGGCATACGGTTTGCCTGATTTTCAAGACATTCAAGGTCTTTTGATAAGATCCGACGAGGTATCGGATTTAACTAGATTAATAGACGAACAGTGTCCAGTACCAAGAATACCAGCAACAACTAGTCACCAGGATAGAACACAATCTGACTCCCAAGTTGTTACCACCATTGAATCATCAATAGTAATGATCGGTAATACGACACCTAGAAAAAGTAATAAACATCATGGAAAGGATAATAAGTTATCGATTAAATCGAAAAATCAGGATCATCATAATAATCATCATCATCATCATCATCATCATCATCATCCTCATCAGATAATAGACGAACGTGTTAATTCTAAATCAACCGATGATCTTTTGGTAATCGAATCTAGTAACAATTGTCACGAATCATCATCCTCATCCTCGTCTAGGCAAAGACCCAAGAAAAAACGTCATCAACAGATATCAAGTGGTTATTCAACATTGAGAAGTGAGGTATCAAGCGATTTAGAATTTAACGATCGAAGTTATTTAGTTGTCAGTGGTAAATCTTATCGCGAGGTTGCCGTTGATTGTCCACCAGATTTCGTGCCGGTAACCAAGTGCCATCCGATTTATCCACCGCCTAATAAAACTCCCGGTAACAGTAAACACAACACGTTAGAACTTAAACGTGATCGTAATAATATTCACGGGGATAATAATGTCGTCAAAGAACCAATGATTACATCAACAACAACATCTACTACAACTACTGCTACTATTACTACTACTACGACGATTATTACTACTACTGCTACTACTACTGCGAGTACTACGATGACAACGTTTAATCAAACAACCAATACCGCAACGTCTAATAACAACATAGTGAATTTAGATTCAACTAGGATTCGTTCGAACGATATTAATTATGCTATGATGAACCTTAAAGCACCAATATTGTCACCGACATCTTCTTCTTCTTCTTCTTCGTCACCAACAACGTTAGCCAATGATGCTAGCGCTAAAGAAAACGTAGTCACGCGTACGATAGAAAGAAAGCACGATAATAAAAAGGTAATAAATGTAAAAAAAAAAAAAAAAAAAAAAAACAACAGCGCTTATTATACTCTATCAATGCACCAAGAAAAATCTTGCCGGCACGACATAAAGAGAAAAAAATATTAATAATAATAATACATTGGAAAAAAAAAAAAAATCAAAATTTATCAAAAGCTTTCATTTAGATGCTTTCAGCACGAATCTATAGTGCTTAAGCTGTTACAATATTAGTTCTTTTTTTCTAACTACAAATTTTCTCGCTTTTAAACCAAGCAAATACTTTTAAACGGTTTCTTTTCACATTTGTTCCTGAAAATAAAAACAATAATAAAAAATTTGCCCTTATTCTGTGTATTTGTTTTTTTATTTATTTAATCATTATCACAAAATTTGTAATCACATTGATAACAGTTACAAATTATTTTAATGTTAAATCTTAGATATTTCTTGAGATATTCGTTTGGTAATAAAAATAACCCAAGATTGTTTCTACAAATATCAAAATATTTATAATAAATAAATTTGATTTAACAAAATATTAATAAAACAAATTGTATCGAATTGAAATTTGCTCTCATTAAGATTGTTCAAGATCTTTTTAATATTGTAATAATGACAAATAAACAATATCGGGGATTTAACGAGATTCACGTTGAAGAACAATGCATAGAAAATATTAAAAATAATAAACAAAAACCATATAAATGGTTCTTATTTTCACTGTGTTCAAGATAAACCGTATAAAAGATTGCTTGCAATTTTACAAAATTTTTCTTCCATTGCATAACGTTTCGTTCGTACGAGCTGTTTATGCGAATAATATTTCTTTCATTTTTTGTTTTTTTTTTGTTTTTTTTTTTTTTTTTAGTTTCTTATGTATATATAAATACTTAATTCTGTTGTTACAGGATTTTGATTAAATATGTTAAATAAAAATTCAAAAAAATAAACATTTTGAAAATTCACGCTTTATTTTTATTGATTTTTTTTTAAAAACCTCAATGAATGAAATGTATATATATATATATATTTTTTATACGAATTTTTTTTAGAAATTAGAGAACATATTTATCCTGTAAAAAGAGAATTAGCTGTATATATATTGGGTATATATTTTTTATTCTTTTATTGGATAATATGTTAATTTATAAAGTATCAAAAAATCGATCAAAACAACGAAAAAGTTTCGCAAATTAGCTCGTTGAACGATTCGATATTATAAAGCATGATGGGGGGGGGGGACAAATTTGTTCAATGGACGTGCGATGCAGCATGGTAAAGTAGACATTTTCTATATAATCCTTTTCTTTTTCTTGTATTTTTATTATACGAGTATTATTCTACGATTGGAGGAACAGTGGTTTGTATCTCTTGTATGTTCTATCGTAGAAATTAGATGGCACGTGCCTAGTTTTGTATATCTTTACTTTTTCTTAATCCAATTCTATCCTCTATCACGACCCACTTCCACCTGTTCCATCCAATAATCCAATGATATTTTATTCTTTACTTTATTTTTCCACACACACATATATACATATACTATATCTATCATTTAGATGCACGGCACGAGTTTGAAACGTAGCGTGCCGTGTTAGGGTATCTTTCTCTTAAAAGGTGTTTATTTTTCATTCTTTTATATTAATAATAATAATAATAATATTAATAATCAAAATTGTAATGATTTAGTTAAACAATTACAAAAAAATTACAATTTATAATTAGTTTCTTTTTCTTGCTTATTTTAATTTATATTTTATGTTGTCTCCTTTGTATTTCTTTTATCTATGTATCTATCTCTTTCTTTCTATCTATCTTTCTTTCTTTCTTTCTTTCTTTATTTATTTTTCTTCTTCAGTATTTGTCTAGATAGATTATTTGGGGAAAGAAAAAAGTAAAAAATGACAAAGTAAAAAAAAAAGTATAGAAAAAATTCGTAGTGTTTTCGTGCATGGCCGAGCTCAAGGGACGATTAATCCTAGCAACTTTTTGGAATGGATTTTTAGGCCGGTCTTAATGGGGTCAAACCTGCCATCCCGCCCAGAGATCAAAAAAGGGCACCCGCTAGACCACCGAAGGATAGTCTCAGACTTTCGAGCCAGAACAACAACGTTGAGAGCAACGATTATGCTAATACCACTGAACCTACTCAACAGCAACTTCATTCTATTAGAAAATATCAGGTATGTTGTATTTTTATTATATTTTTAAGATAAACATGGAAAAATGTTTGAAAGGTCTATAAATAGGGTTTGACCCTTTAAGGGATGAAATATTAAGAAATGAAAGGAAACGATGTGGCATAGAAAGTTTTCTTTTTTTTTTTTTTTTTAAATTGAACAAAGTTAGTTCACGTTGCACAGAAGTTTGTTTTTTGTATTTTTTTTTTCAACTGCACAAAGTTGATAGACGTTGCACAAACAATTTTTGTATTCCTTTTTCAATTACACAAAGTTTGTTCAAGGTGCATACAAAATTTTTGTATTCCTTTTTCAATTGCACAAAGTTTGTTCAAGGTGAACAGACAATTTTTGTATTCCTTTTTCAATTGTACAAAGTTGATACACGTTGCACAAACAATTTTTATATTCCTTTTCCATTTGCACAAAGTTGGTTCAAGTTGCACAGACAATTTTTGTATTCCTTTTCCAATTGCACAAAATTAGTTCATGTTGCACAGACAAATTTGGTTTTTTTTTTCAATTGCACAAAATTGGTTCATGTTGCACAGAAAATTTTAGTATTCTTTTTTCAATTGCACAAAGTTGTTACACGTTGCAGAAACAATTTTTGTATTTCTTTTCCATTTTCACAAAGTTGGTTCAAGTTGCACAGACAATTTTTGTATTCCTTTTCCAATTGCACAAAGTTGGTTCAAGTTGCACAGACAATTTTTGTATTCCTTTTCCAATTGCACAAAATTGGTTCATGTTACACAAATAATGTTTGTATTCATTTTTCAATTGAATATTAAAATTCTAATATTTATTTTAAATGAAACATAATTAATTTCACTGACGTCATATGTGATGCAACTTAAAGATTCGTATAACGTGTTTACGTCTGAAGAATTCGAAGTATCGACTTATTTTGACCGACGCAACGATGTTTTTATCAGTGACCGCTGGTAAACATCTCAATCAAGTTTTGCGAGCTATACGTTTTCCCTTCGAGCAAATATTTATGGTGGTAAAGATGGCTCCGAGCAGTCTCGTACCGAAACTTATGAAGATTGACACTTAAACGATTTCATTATTTTATCATCGTGTCTTTAAACACGAATTATTTTCAAATATAAATTTAACAATGCATCATATACAATAAAATACTTCAAATTGTTAAAAATATGGATCGTATAATTAAAAAAAAAAAAAAAAAAAACTTTTAATAAAAATAATGCAACACAAATTTCTCGCTGTAAAATTTCCGATTAAATTATTTGAAAAAATATTTAATATAAAAATAATTACGGANATGGCTCCGAGCAGTCTCGTACCGAAACTTATGAAGATTGACACTTAAACGATTTCATTATTTTATCATCGTGTCTTTAAACACGAATTATTTTCTAATATATATATATATCTATAATATAAATTATAAAATATCATAAATTATTACAAAGATAGACATTATAATTAAAAAAAAAAAAAAAAAAGAAACTTTTAATAAAAATAATGCAACACAAATTTCTCGCTGTAAAATTTCCGATTAAATTATTTGAAAAAATATTTAATATAAAAATAATTACGGAAAATTTTATAAATAATTATTTTTATTATTAAAGATAAAAAAATTTAATGTTCATTTAATTTATGTCCACTATTTGTCAATGTTATTTTATTGCATAGACAAAAGTATAAACAATTTTTGATATTAATAAAAGAAATAAATCTATAAGTCGTTTATTATTTTGATAGAATTACAATTATAAAACGATTAACAATAAAATGATCAAAAATTAATAAATTTAAATATTATATACATTAAAATAACCATTTATTGATTTCAATATTATTTTGTGTATATTTTTGCAACACAGTAATTAATTCTATTATAATTATACCATATAATTAATAACCTGAAATGTACATACAATTGATTTTCTATACAAATACCAAAAAAAAAAAACAAACAAATACAAAACTTAAAAATGATACTAATTCAACTTCACATTAATTAGAGTAAAGTGGTCAAATTTATTTTTACGATTAGTCAGTACGCATAAACATAAACCGCAAATATTGTGTACATTGTGTTAAAAAAGTATTTGATTATTATAATTTGTTTGAAAAATTAACAATACGTGTTCTAGTAGAAAAAAAAAAGAAATAAAACCATTTCCAATCGGTTCTTTCATTTGCATGACGGTAATAGAACAGCATTGAACGACAAATGATTATTCGCTAGGAGACAAGCTAGTAACCTGTCCATAGCTCATGAACATTTCGACAGGAAATCACGGATGCGAACGCGACAATAGCTAATGGAAACTCGTTGTGCCGTAATACGGTAGTCATACACAGTTGTACAGTTTCCGTATTTCCTATTTGGTATGCTAACGGTTGTATTTCGATCGATCGAACGACCAACTTGAAATTATCTTTACTCCTCTTTTATTTTTGTTTCCCTAAATGTGTTTTATCGTTTTTAACACTTTGGTCGTATGAAATTTTAGAAAATAAAAAAAAATTAGACCAATTTTGTGTGCAGATAAATTTGTCTTTTTAAATTACAAAAAAAAAATTGATTCACGTTGCAAAGGAATTATTCTTTCTTTTTAAATTGTACAAAAAATTGATTCATCTTGTACACAAATTGTGGTTTTTTTTCCAATACACAAAGTTGATACATGTTGCTCAAACAAATTTTTATATTCCTTTTCCAATTGCACAAAGTTGATGTTCACGTTACACAGAAGTATTTCTTTCTTTTTAAATTGCAACAAAATTTTGGTTCTTGTTACACAAAAATTTAATTATATTTCTTTTTAAATTTCACGAAGTAATACAGAAATTGCATTTCTTTTTAAATTGCACAAAGTTATACAGAAATTGTAAAAATAAGTTGGTTCCAGTTGCATAGAAATTAAATCGTATTTCTTTGAAAATTGCACAAAGTTCATGTTCACGTTACACAGAAGTATTTCTTTCTTTTTAAATTGAATAAAGTTGATTTTCATTGTCACAGAAGTATTTCTGTTTCTTCTGCAACAAAGTTGCATAGCAATTGTATTTCTTTTTAAATTGCAAAAATAGTTGGTTCCTGTTGCACAGAAATTGAATCGTATTTCTTTTTAAATTGCAAAAATAGTTGGTTCCTGTTGNGTTGGTTCCTGTTGCACAGAAATTGAATCGTATTTCTTTTTAAATTGCAAAAATAGTTGGTTCCTGTTGCACAGAAATTGAATCGTATTTCTTTTAAAATTGCAAAAATAGTTGGTTCCTGTTGCACAGAAATTGAATCGTATTTCTTTTAAAATTGCACAAAGTTGATGTAAACGATACACTGTTCACATTACAGTGTTCCTTCCTTTTTAAATTGCACAAAGTTGCTTCTCATTGTTCACAGAAATGTTTCTTTCTTTTTAAATTTCATAAAATTAGGTTTATGTTTTTATTAATACATTGAACCTTGACCTTGCATTATCAAAATACCATTAAACATGTTTTCAACTTTGATATATTCTATTCGTAATTATTTATATTTTTTCTTCTTTTTTTATCCCTCACTCTTCTTAGACCTTTTAATAACAAGAATTTAAAAAAAAAAATATATATATATATATATATATATATATATATATATATATGTAATAAATGTTTGAACTTGGAAAAGTAGGGACTTTATTAGAACCTTCCCCCCTCTGTAAGAAGTACTATAATTTAAAGAAGCAGTAAACGTTTAGAAGTTAATACGTTTCCCTTGGAACGAGGACGATAAGATTTTGCGGCACCATAGTAAGATCGTTTTTACGGTAATTACATAGTCGTTAATCGTTATCCTCGATTAAGATCATATTTCTCCCTCTCTCTCCCTCTCTCTCTCTCTCTCTCTCTTTCCCTCCCTCCCTTCCTTTCCCTTTCTATTTGCTTTTCGAAAAGTGGGATTATAATATTTGAAATAATTATTCATAGCAAATGGTAAACATCGATAAAATTTATACGTGTTCTTTAAGGCTTTATTCAGGAAGCGGCCAGAAATCGAGCGCAGTGAGCCCAACTCCTTGCTCCACCGTGCAACTCTTAATAACAAAATAACAAAATAAAAAAATACCATAGGTTATTGAAGGTACCAAATTCATAGGGATTGATAAGCATTAATATGGTTTATACATGTTCCTTAAAAGAAAAAAATATGATAAAATTAATATTAAAAAAAAAATGAATTAGAAGAAAAGTGATGATAGTTCAGTTCATTTTCTCTTTTATCTTATTCTTTATCATTCTCTTTGTTTCTCATTCGAATACGCAGGCGTGGCTAGTGTGTCGTGGGTATGTTTATCTTATAGAATCCTCACACCCGTTCTTTCTCTCTCTCTCTCTTGCTTTACCTTACTTGAAGTCAAACGTGCCTCGGAATGCAAAGAACTCCAACGTGCTTTAAGATTACACGTCTTGTAGGTATATAAACTTTAACGAGTCTCGATAGTATACGCGAGCACCCACTTTCATTTTCCCACCTTCGTTTTTTCTATTTATATTTTTAAACAATCGTATAATATTCAAAGATGATTCTCCTTTTTTTTTTTTATTTGATTTAATGAATTTTAAATAAAAATATATTAATGTGTTATTTATGTTCAACACAAAACATTATTTAATATTTTAATTTTATTTATATAATTGTTAATCGTGTCTAATTATTGCAATTTGTTTAAGAAAAAAAAAATATATATATATATATTTTTAGTAATATTATATTTTATTAGTTTTTTATTTAGTAATATAATATTTTAGTATATATAGTTATAATATATTTAGAAATTATAAAATAAATATAATTATATTATAAATATAGTTCTATTTTAAATTATAATATACTAAATATTAAATTATAAATATAGTAATAATTATAATATAATATTTAGTATATTTTAATTTAATATAATAATATTATTATTATAAAAATAATTAAAAAAAAAAAGTAAAAAGTAACTTAAAGTACTTTAAACATCATTTGTTTTTTTTTTGAAAACTGATGAAACGTCAAAATTTTTTAACGATACAAAGTTACACAAGAAAGTTAAAAAGTTATTAAAGTATTTACCTTAAGTCGATAAATCTCTTTTGTTATAAAACGATTTCTTCCAACAAACTATATAATATAGTAAACGATACTTATATATACATATACATATACATATATATAAGAATATATATATCTTCTTAAAGATGATGTGTATGTATAATATAACATGTAAGTTGCGGTTTAAAAGATGTGCCGCCACCACCTTTCTCATTCGCATCTCATAACAAACTTTAGAACTGTTGGGAACTTACGGAATGAACTGAACTCACGTTCACGTGAAACCCTATGGTAGTATCGTTGAAGTAAACAGGGCTTCAGCCAAGTATTCTTATACACATAACAGCACGCACGGGTTACTATCGTGTATCCTATTCTATCCTATCCTATCCTATCCTATATCGTATCACATAGCAACATTTATTCTTTTCTTTTCTAGGTGGGTTATATAAAAAGCCGATATTTTAGAAAACATTAACAGCTGATCCATAAAACGTGAACTCTACACTTTATCGATTTTTTTCTTTTTTTTTTTTTTTAACTAGGAGGAAAATTCATTTAGATTCTTCAACGTTGACCTTTGCAAATTATTTATATATATATAAATATAAATATAAATCTATTTATTGAATAAAAAAATCTTTGTCAAATATGTTTGAAAATTATTTTTGTTAATTTAAAGTTAAATAGATTTATATTAAAATATATTTTTGTATAAATATTATATATTATATTTTTTATAATTTATACAAATTATTTAATTATTTTATTTTAATATATTTATATATTTATAACTTTTACTTTATATAATCTTATATTAATATTTATATATATATACACACACACACAACATAATTTAAAAATTATATTAAATTACTATAAATATAAATTATAATTTGAAAAATATACAAATATTATAGACACACATATATTTTTGATAATTAAATAAAATAATATTTAAATAATGATCGATCGAAATAATACAATTTATAAATTACATAAAGTTACATGAAAGGTTTCAATAAAATATTATTATACTTATATTTGACACCTTAACGTTTATAATATAAATTCTATGCATATTATAAAATACTTTCTATGATTGAAGAAATATTTTTGTTTAAAAATACATACATTTTTAATAATTATAAATTTAATAACATGGAGTATAAAATAATTTCTATTAATATTTTCTACAATGTTAAATATCAACATATTTATATTTACATTATTACAACATCATACTCGTCGATATATCATCTTACGTGTATATATAATCTCGTATATTTACATAGTAATGTGTTGCATTCATTATAACGTGTAATAGATTCTTTGAACTTAATATCTCGTACGAAATACCAATTATATATTTTAATTGTAAATGTATCATGTAGAAAGCATTTCACATACAACAAATTAACAGTTTCTATAAAAAAAAAAAATTAAAAAAAAAGAATATAATCATTAATCCCATTTCAATATATTTTATGATTAATATACAGAATTCATACTAAGAAAATTGAAAAATTCACATTCACATTCACATTCACATTCACAATATTTCTAAACAGGTTTTTCCCCTCTTGAGTCTCGTCAAGGTTACGTAAGGTGTTTCTTTTTTTTGGAGGGTTTTATTAGGGTTGATTTCCCTCCCCAAGTAAAACACCATAGAACATATGTTTTGTAACATTGATAATACACCCTTTATGTGTCGTGAGAATACAGCAGGTGTGAATATTCTGCCCTTCGTATACTGAATCACCTTACTGACGTTTCATATATAATAATAAATCGAAATATTATTATAATTTGAAATTTATTTCAAATTACTTTTGATCTATGTTAAATTTTATTTATTTATAATATTTTTATTTATTTATATTTTAATTATATATATATATATATATATATATATATATATATTTATTATCGTATAATTTATAATATAATGTATTATTTATTATTTATATTAATTTTTTTTATTAGTTTATTTATATTAATATTTATTTTTTAATTATTATTATTTTTTATATTATAATATAATATATAATTATTAATTTTTATTTAATATATTAAATTAATATGTTAAATTAATTATTAAAAAATAAAAAAAGAAGACTGATGAAAGATTGTTAATTAATTATTTCTATTATGTTTAAGGAACAATTGAGAAAACGAAAAGACGAAGAAGAGAGACAAGAAATTTTGAATCGATCTTTACGTGGCTCAACGAAACTTAAAGCTTTAGAAAGTCATGCAACTAATCTTACTGGTCAAGAAAATCTTGCTTATGCTCAAGACGAATTGGCAACTGCTGCCAATCGTCCTGCTCCAGTCACACCTTCAGCACCCTTAAGTAAGTATCTTCTTTTATTTTATTTTTTTTTATTTCATTCCTTAATTGTTCATACTTATTTAGCTGTCAAAAGAATCAAATTTATAATTAACTATTTAAATTATGATTAATCAACAATATACTCGAGATTATTTTTTTTTTTATATTTTTATTAATAATTACACCAATAAACTGATCAGTCTTTTTTTTCTTTTTTTTTTGTTAAAATCATAAAAATAAGAATCTCATGTTCGGCTCAAAACTTTTCAACCTACCAATGTATTTTTTCTATAATCTCTTTTTATCATAATTAAAAATTGTTAAAACATTTTTCTTCAATTGAAAACTGTTCAAATTAATAGATAAGAATGTATTGATTCTAACTTGATTGCATTTTCTGACGTTACAATACTGTAAGAAAATATTTAAAATATTTTTAAGGTATATTCAAGTTTCATTCGTATTTTGTAATCTCACGTCAGTCAGTCAATCCTTTGTATTTTATTTTATTTTATATTTTTCTTTTTTGTAAAAACTACTATTTGAACAAAAAAGAAAATAATAAAAAATGTCGTCTTTTTTCGATTAAATATTCCATTTAAGATATAATAGGATACAAACTGAAAAAATAAGAAACAGAAAGGGGGGAGGGAGAGAGGGAGAGGGGGAGGGGGTGGTTTAGTAGAGGAAAATAATTTCGTAGTAGAGACAAGTATTATAGTATTTAAATATTTCAGCATACGGTGAGGTCGTTGCCACGTTGGAAAGATTGCAACTTCAATTGCGAAATATTTCCGGAGCTTTAGGAATTTCGGGTCCAAGCGTGGAAGCCGAACTCGAAGCAGTTCGGACGCTTTTGTTGAAAAGCAGATTTGTAACTGCCGTAGCAACGCATTATGCCTTGAAAACGAGATTCAGGTCGAACAAGGTTTTAAAACATCATGCAGAAGATTCGTCGACGTTAGCTCGTGACGTGAGTATTATACTTTTTTTTTTTTTTCAATAATTTTAACATTAATAATTTTACACTAATTATTGTTCGTTTTTTTTTTTCTTAAATCAATTAACCTTTTCGCTATGGGCATGTTTTCTGCGGTCGTACTTCAATTGTACGCGCAGCATCGAAATTGCACTTTATTTTTGAATAATTTTGTTGCTGATATTAATGATGATTTTTAATAAAAATAAACAAAACACTAAAATTACAGGTGCATAGTAGGATATTTGATGTGCTATATGTTCTGAGCATATGACTGCATATGTTCGTCGTATGTAAAATACGCGGTATTTTATGGAGGGCCACTATGGTGACCCGTAGTAGCGAAAGGGTTAATTGCAATGATAATATTTCAATTATTAAATAAAGTACAATTTAGTTATATTTATAATAAATATTAATATATGTATCTTAATTATTCAATTATATTAAACATTATTTATAAATTAATTACTTTCATTATATTTTAAAGATATTAATAAACGTTGATATATATCTAAATTACTCGAGATTACGTTATAAAAAACCAATGAAATTAAATACATTACGTTCATTATGATTTTAAACATAATAATAAACATTAATATATATATATATATTATTCTATAATACAGAATTTCTATATTTATTATTCATTTCTATATTATTTAAATTTAATAAAATTTGAAACAATTTTCATACTTTTCTGACATATACGTTGAATACAATAATTAATAATTATTAATAAATATTAATTTTTTTTTTAAATATTTAATTACACAATAAAAAAACCAAAACCATTCTAAACATAATTAAGATTAATAAAACGATTGATGTAATGATATATACATTTCTAAAATATTGTGTGTTTTTTGTGTAGTGCGTAGATGTATTAGAAAAATGGCAATCATCGTCAACACCAACGGATGTCGGTACGGCAGAAACCATGGCTGCCGTGGAAGAACTGACGGGTATATTAACGAGTTACGACATGGAAGCATTACTTATAGCACACGATTCAATAATATCATACGTGGAAGGTTTCCAAAGAAAACACAGTCCTTCTTCATCGTCACCAAGTGGTCCACCAAGTCCTACGTCAAGTTGGAGAGAATCACGTGTAGATAACATCAAAATAATTAAGATTGAAAAAACTAACGAACCATTGGGTGCTACTGTTAGAAACGATGGTGATGCCGTTATCATAGGTATAAATAAATAATCTTATTTATTTAAATAAAATAAAAAACAAAATACCCAAACGTTATTAACACTTTTCGTGCAAGTGAAACTGAACTTTTCATTTAATTCATTTTTAATATGAAAATAATTAAATGAAGAGTATATGGTATGTGCTTTTGTTTAAATAATTTTTTAAATAATAAATAAATATGTATTTATCGTTATGTTGTGTATTATATATCTTAAATTATGCACCCCATTTTTTTTTCTTGATAATTATGTGATCTTAATATTATTTTAATTACTGCAAAAGAAATACTTCAGAAATAAAACAATGTAATCGTTAAGCGTGAGACTTGAACGAAAAGTGTTTTTTAATATCGAGACGTCACGAAAGGTGTTAATTAACAATCACTTACCTGTAATGAATTTATTCATATTTTTCTCAAAAGAAAATGTCATAGTTCTCAGTTTGATCATTTTATAATATTTTTATAATATTATACTTTCTTTATTTTATTCTGATATGTCAGTTAAATGATTAAAATTTCCAACAAAATTAAATAAGAAAAATAATTAAATCTTTTTATTTCAAGGTCGAGTTGTTCGTGGTGGTGCAGCAGACAAATCCGGACTTTTACACGAGGGAGACGAAGTTTTGGAAGTTAATGGTGTTGAAATGCGTGGCAAAAGTGTTAACGAAGTTTGCGACATTTTAGGTGGCATGCAGGGTAGTCTTACGTTTTTGGTATTACCGGCACCAACGAATTATCGTAATAATTTGAACAGTAGAAAGGAAGACACTAATCAGGTGAACAACTTTACTGTAACAACCCCTTTCCTTCCAGAACAATTGTCTTTTCCCATTAACTTGAAAACTTTATTTTATTATGGTGTACCAAAAGCTCGTATATTTAATATATTGTTTTAAGTAGATGATAAAATTTTTTAATCTTAATAAAATAATTACTTTTAGGTGCAATTATATGCATCTATTATTTTATTTTTTATAATATATTAATATTATATTATATTTAATAAATGTGTGTGGTTGTGATTAGCTTTTGGATAATAAAGTGCAACTTCTTCGTAAGTTAATACTCTTCTTCGCTATTAATTAAATAATAATAATAATATTTAATTAATATAATAATAATATTATTAATATTTAAATAATATAAATAAATAAATTATATATATATTTAATAATTAATTAAGAAAATGTACGAGCTTTTAATTCACCCTACAAATAATTATAATAATAAATAATATATTAACGTTAAGATAAAAATATATTTTTTTTCTGTTTCATTTAATTTTCGTTTTTTTTTTTTTTTGTATTTTTTAGATACAACACATACGCGCACATTTTGATTACGATCCCGAAGAAGATCCGTATATACCATGCAGAGAACTCGGAGTTAGTTTTCAAAAAGGTGACGTATTGCATGTGATTTCTCAGGAGGATCCAAATTGGTGGCAGGCTTACAGAGAAGGTGAAGAGGATCAAACGTTAGCTGGTCTTATACCCAGTAAAGCTTTTCAACATCAGTAAGTATACATTTGTTTTTAATAATACTAATTATTATTCACAATATAAATTTTAAAAATATTATACAAAATAAAAAAAAAAATTAGAAAATAATTTATTTAAAAAAAAAAAATAATAATAAATAATACGATTAGTATAATAATGAGTGTGTGAGAGAGATACATGGATAAAAAGATACAAAGTAAGTCAGTGAATGGAATTTATGCAAAGCGTTCAAGGATCGGGGTGTGGTATAAAACAAGAAGACTGGTTGTGTTTAGTCATTGCATAAATTTGTTAAGCTAATGCATTTTAACACCACATGGGATATACATTTATTTCACAGACGTGAATCAATGAAGCAGACGATAGCTGGTGGAAAATCAACGGTCAGAGGTTCGAAGAAATCGAGTACTTTATTGTGCGCGAGAAAAAATCCAAAGAAAAAAAAACGAAACAAATTAGGTGCCAATTTCAACGACGACGGTTATCCCCTTTATGCAACTACTACCATAGATGGTATATATATATATATAGAAATATTAATTATTGAATTAATGATTATAATGTTTTATTATTAATAATGATAATAATTTATAGATTACGATAGCGAAGAAGTATTAACTTACGAAGAAGTTGCACTTTATTATCCAAGAGCTAATCATAAGAGGCCTATCGTTCTTATTGGTCCTCCTAATATCGGTAGACACGAATTGAGACAAAGATTGATGCAAGACAGCGAACGTTTTGCTGCAGCTATTCCTCGTGAGTATCATTTTTAAATGTTTATTTATTTCAAATAAATAAAATACTTTCTTTTTAATGATCTTTAGAAAATTGTCCCTTTTTATGTCTCATTGACAATTATATATAATTTTAATAATAATATATAATAAATGTAAGATATTTAATATATTTGGATAAACCAAAAGAATTCATATGTTTTTTAATTAATATTTTTAAAGTAAATTTTATCAAAAATATTAGAGTATGCAATTTATAAATCAATTTATAACACAATAAATGTGTACGAATTTTTTTGATATACCCTAATATTGCATATAATTTTAATAATAATAAATATATTTATGTATATTATTTGTTATATTATTATTTACTATATTATATAAATATATATTTAAATTTATATAATATAAAAATATAAACTTAAATATAATAATATATAATAATATAAAATATAAAATATAATATAAAATTTAAATATATATTTATCTAATATATTTATATTATATTTTTATTTATTATATTATATAAATATATGTTATATTTAAATTTATATAATATAAAAATATAAAATAAAAAATATAGAATAATATAAAATTTAAAAATATATATTTATATAATATATTATTATACGATTTATTGAAATCTTGTTGTATTTTTAGATACGAGTCGTCCAAGAAAAGATTCCGAAGTTGATGGTCAAGATTATCACTTCATTTCTCGTTCACAATTCGAATCCGATATACTTTGTCGTAAATTCGTGGAACATGGTGAATATGAGAAAGCATATTACGGTACATCAGTTGAGGCAATAAGATCCGTAGTTAATTCTGGAAAAATTTGCGTATTAAATCTACATCCGCAAAGTTTGAAGATATTAAGAAGTTCGGATTTAAAACCATACGTTGTATTCGTGGTACCTCCTAGTCTCGAAAAGTTACGACAAAAACGTATTAAAAATAACGAAAGTTTTAAGGAAGAAGAATTAAAGGACATTATTGAAAAGGCACGTGAAATGGAAGACAAATATGGCCATTTATTCGATATGATCATAATCAATAATGATACTGATCGTGCATATAATCAATTACTCACCGAAATCAATTCGTTAGAAAGAGAACCACAGTGGGTGCCTGCGTCTTGGATTCAGTAATGAATGAATTATTATTATTATTATTATACTGAAACGGACGAAGAATGTGTCTTACAAATATTAGATCATTATCAAATGCCATCGATGCGAGTTTTTATGGCACGTTACTAAATTCCGATATATAGAGACATATAATAATAAATAATAATAATAAATAAATAAATAAATAAATAATAATAGTAATAATAGTAATCAATAAAATCGATTATTTCGTTGATAATCGTTAACGATACGATTTACGAATTAATAAAACAAGTACTATAATAATAATAATATGATCTTAATAAACAATTTGACGGATCATAACGATAATTCAAATCTTAAATAAGTTCCTGATGATTAAAACAAACGATTAATATCGTAAAACACATAATTAATGCGTAATCACGTGATGTCACGTTAACTTCAAAATATATAACGGTGTTGATCGATTTGGAAAATCAGTTTTTTTGATTACAATTGTAAGAATTATTATTATTTTTTTTTTTTTAACAGAACTGTAAACAAAATTTACAACTTAGTTTTATTTTTTATTTTGTTTCCTTGTATAAAATATACTTCGTAGAGAATCATAAAAAATCCTGGAAAGATAAATCTTGTTAGAAGTGGGGGGGTAAGGACAAATGATTTGTCGAGTAGGATTAATTTGTTGTAAAAAATATGAAATTGAATAAGATAATATTTAAAAAAAATTGGTGTACAGTTTAAACGTATTCTCTAAAAAAAAAATTTTATATTTCAATCATCCATTAAAAAAAAAAATATATATATATATATATATTATTTATGCAAATATCATAATTTCAATCAAGTTCATTTTTTTATAATCTAATAATAATTATTATTTTATAAATTAATTATTATTATTTTTATCTTGGCTTTTAAAAAAAAAAAATAATTAAATTAATATTTGAAAATTTGTATATTGTTTTATGACCATATTAATTATTACTCAAATTTAATATTAATATTAATAAATAATAATATCATCCAATTGCAAAGATCGTACTCAAAAATAAATCATTTTATTGTACTATAATTTGAACATACAAATATATATATATATATAATATTTTAAATAGAATTATGTGTTTTTTAGAAAAACAAATTTATTATCAATTATATTTCTCTAATTCTTGATAGTTAGTTTATCAGGGAAAAGTTAGATATTATTTTAAAATGTCATTATAGAAGACTTGATTGAATGTATAAAAATAAAATAATAAATAAAATTTTATTATAAAATAAAGTGAGAAAGAAATGGCAGGAGAAATCAAGTGATACGTTTTAATCAAAAGGAAAGTATTGAAATGAAAAGATTAAAGATAAATGAAAATAAAATCATTACAGGTATTTAAAAAAAAAAAAAAAAAACAAATAAATAAATAAATAAACAATTAATAATCAGCTCGGTGTTCGAATTAAAATGGTGCTTAAAAGTTCACATGGTTCCTTGGGAATTTAGGATCATCCGATATATTTTTTTGTGCTTCTTCTTCTTCTTAGATATTTTAAATAATTCGTAAAAACCGTATATTAGTAAAAAAAAAAAAAAAATAATAATAAACAAATAAAATAAATAATTACACAACAATAACACACGATGATATTTTTTTAAGACGGAAGTTACTCGATTTACCGTCCTTAAGTTTTAAACAATTAATATAGAATTGAATGATTATAAATAATTACATTCAATGAAAATAATTAATTACGATCGACACTGTTACATTAAAAAAAAAAACAAAAAATAACAACTAAACAACATTTAAAACAAACAAACAAAAAATAACTCAATCTTTCATCATTTTTAAGAAATTATTTCCGATTATGTCTCGGATGTGTGTGTGTGTGTGTGTGTTTTTAATTGCAATTAAAATATAAAATTTCGTGCAGTTGTATTAAGGATATTATTGTATAAATTATTTGTATTTTTTGTTTTTGTTTTTTTTTTTTTTTAAATACCAATTTTTAAAAGTTTCAGCATATCACACGGAAGAAGTTCATACGAGTCGTTAAAATAATAAAATCTAAGACTCATTTATTCTTAATATAATTAAATTGGACTTTTTAAACATAAGCCCGCTATATTATTAACAATAGTTAATATATATATTATATAAAAAAAAAAATATATAATAAAATGTTACAATTCTTTGTCTGTGTACGAAAAGAAAATCGTTACGAACGAATTTCTCGAGAGATCTCGGCTAAACAAGAAAAAAAAAAAAAAAGAAAAAAAAATACCAAAAAATCTTTTTCATACTCTTTTTCTAAAAAACATTACGCCAAAAGTGGTTATATAACATAGTGGTCCCAAAAAAGAAAAAAAAAAAATCGCGTTTGCACTTCTATCGTAGATTACCGATCGTCGTGTTACCCTAACTTCGAACTATCCTTTTGAAAAAAAAAAAAAAAAAGATAAAAGAATTAATAAATAAAATTCCTTAATTAAATTCATAATTAAATAGGAAAGAAGAAATTAGGGGGGGAAGAAAAAAAAATCAGAAAAAAAAAGAACAAAAAAATAATATGAATAATATGAATAATACGAATAATAATAATAATAATAATTAAAAAAAAAAAAAAATAAAAAGCGCTGATAGTATTATCGATGTGCTCCCAGATTCCGTCTAGCGTGTATTCACGTACTGGTTATTAAAAAAAAAAAAAAAATTAAAATAAAAGAGAAAAAAAATATTAGGATTATGAATACTATTGAAAAAATGAGTTTACAAGGTAATTAATTTATTTTATTTTTTTTTAATTCTTTTTAATTTTAAAAAAATTTTTTTTTTACTTTTTTTTTCTTTTTTAATCTTTTTTTTCTTATTTTTACTTTGTTTTATATTTGTTAATTTTTTTTTTTACTTTTTTCTTTTTTTTCTTCTTTTTTTTCCTATTTTTTTTTTGTTCTGAAAATTAAAATAAACTTTGTACTGATATTTTTTTTTTTTTTTTTTAAAGAAAATTTTTCATAATTTCAATTTTACACAATATTAGGATACGAAATAAACATTATTTAATTTATCTCGTAGACAATTTTTTTTCTAAATGTGTTCTCGTAATAAAAATGATATTAAAATAAAAAATAAACGAAGAAGAAGAAGAAGAAGAAGAAGAAGAGATTAAATAAGAAAAAAAAACTAAAATACAAGTCGGATCACTTTTGTCGGTCTAATACACGCACGAGAAAAAAAAATAAAATGAATAAAACGAAAAAAGAAAAAAAAACTAGGAATACGAGGAAAAGCAAAAAAAAAGATTTTCACACGATTCGTATGGACGAAAAGAAAAGTTAAATAAAAAAATAAAAAGCGTCGATTAGATCGACGGATGTTTTAAATAAAAATTAGTCGAGCAAACGAAAACAAACAAATAAACAAACAAATAAACAAATAAATAAATAAATAAATATTAAGAATTAAAAAAAAAACCATAAATATCGATGTGTGTATAAATGCATTGTAAGAATTAGATAACACATTATTAAGAAATTAATTAATTAATTAAATTAATTAATCGTGAAATAATGTTATTTCAAAATATGTATTAGCCAGGGATATCTACGAAAAAGGACAAACAGACAAAATAAATAAATAAAAAAATGAATAAATAATTATAAATAAATAAATAAACTCGTCCCATGGCGAATTATTTAAGAAAAAATGGGGACAATATTCTGCCAAGTATGTTAAAAAAAAAAAAAAAAAGAGAATATTAATACGTGGAACGAAATATCTGAAATGTGCCAAAATAGTTCTGAATAAAATGTTTACAGAAAGATTAAGAGAAAAGTAATAAACAAAAAAAAAAAAACAAAAACAAACAAAAACAAGAAGAATAGAAAGAATAAAAAATACTAGAAAATGAGAGAAAGGGTGAAAGATGTTTAGAGAAAGAAAAAAAAAGCCAAGAAAAGGTGTTTTAACCCATTGCCGCAAATGACGGCTATAGCCGTCCGATCTTCGTATTTCTAAGCACGATCGTCAAATTAAAAGTGTGCGGCAACGTGTTAAAATGAGCTCAAAAGGGCACCATTAGAATGTATACACATACATACACATATATATATATATATAGATATACATACATGCATAATAAATAATAATGTAAATATTTGTGTACTTGTATAGAGACGATGAAGAAGAAGAAAAAAAAGAATCATTTTAAGAAAATATCAATATCAAATGTCATCCCCACCATTTGTCATAATTCATTGTCATTATTATAAACTAATTCTTACCATTATTATTATTATTATATTAGTGACTACTATTGTTACCACTATCGCTTATTACTATCTCGTTAAAAACGAGTACTTAAATGTTAACCTTATTAATTTTATTATTATTATTATTATTATTATTATTAGTAGTAGTAGTAGTAGTATTATGGGTTCATTAATTATGTTTTTTTAATTAGTATTATCAATTTTTATAGTGATACTTATCAATTGACTATACACTCATGGTCACCTGAAAAAAAAATTGTTAAAATAACAATGAATAATATTTTTAAAAATTCGTGGAAATTAGATTCAATTTTTTAAATTGAATTTTATTTTTTTATTTTATTTTATTTTGTAAATGTTGCCATTATAAATATAAATATATATTTTTTGTGGTCTTGTTTTTATTATTTTTTATTTACTACGATAATTATTGGAGTAATGAGAATGAAATAAAGAAAAAAAAAATATGAATGAACTCGAGTGTACGAGTTGTATCATAAATGTAAAATGAATTTTGCAATACACAGTATACATATATATATATATATATAAATAATAAGAATATATCCGTCATCGATGAAAAATAACGTGTGTATTATAATTATTATTATTACTATTATTATTCTTTTATTTTATTATTATTATTATTATTATTATTATTATTGATAAATGTTTATAAATAATAAGTATTATTATCGATGATATTAAATATTTTATCTAACACATAAGAAGAACGTAATATAGGATAAAATATGAACGTGCTTAGTCGTATGTACATGTGCGTGTGTGTGTGCGTGTATATTTACGAATCGATGTATTAGTACGTTAATTATTCTAACGTATTTATACATATGTGTGAATGTGAACAAAATTTTAGCGAACTCTTTCAATATATATTTACTTACTTAAATGTGCGCAGAAATATAAACAAAAAAATTAAATAAAATAAAATAAAATAAAATAAAACCGAAAATTGCGAAAGAAAGAAATTATAAAAAGAAACAAACAAACAAAAACAAAAAATAATAAAATAAAAATCATGAAAATTATAGACGATTATTTCGAATGTATATTTTTAAGCTTTTCGTTGATAAACAAAAAATAATAAAAGAAAACCATAATAATAATAAATAATATATTATTTACATTGTTATACATCAATCATCGTTGCTATTAAAA